GCAAGGTGTCGGCAAGAAGTGCAGGCAGGGGACTCTTCAAGTTCACATCCCAGGTGAAGAAGGCGTCCATGAAGGCTTAGTCTACTGTGTTGATATGGAAGGAAAACAAGATTGTTCCAAATATGATTAGAGCTGGGGTTTTGTTAAAAGCGACCCATTCTGCCCTTTCAGCCAAAGAGGACAGATGGTCTTCTAACATTGAGATTTTCCAACCCTGGATATTCCCTTTCTCTATCAGGGTAGTTTGCCAGAATGACAATCGAATCATGGCAGTGACTTGTGCTGCAGAAGTATATGCCCCATGGCGAATATGGACCCTAGCTGATTTGGGTCATTTTAGCATAATCTCATACTCCTCTAAAGTAGGCACCATATCGAATTGTGGGAATTCGAAGCAGTGCAGACTAGAGTTCCAAAAATGAACTAGAACCCTGATAAAAATGGGATCAACACAGATCTTCGACAGGTCGAGGATCCGTCCATAGGATTTTTCAAAGTCGGAGCGGACCTCTGGCGGCATTATCGTGCAAAGTCGTTCCAGCTTCTCAGTATGGTACCGGGGAATGTCTACTTTCTTCAATTGTCTACTAGTCCCCTCCATTTTCTAAAACCAAAATGCATGTTTTATGAATATGATGTTTATTGTGGGTATGCATGCGAGTGTTTGTTTTTTCCTATTTATTTATCATGTTTTATTTCTACATGATGTATATATTTTTTGCGTATTTATTTTCAAAAATAAACTACCTATATGGATGATTTATGAATTTAGTATTTATGAACAAGGTCCCATTTATTTGATTTGGGTCTTTATTTTTATTTTATTTTGGTTTTAGAGCCTTTTATCTCTTCTGTCGGACTGCGTGACTACTTAGCTTACAAAGAACCTGAAACCAGGCTAGCTAAAAGGCATATTATACTGTCCGAGATAAAATGGTTTATTGTGAAAGAATAATATTAGCGTCCCTTATCTCTTCTGTCGGACTGTGTGGCTACTTAGCTTACAAAGAACCTGAAACTAGGCTAGCGAAAAGGCAGACTGTCCGAGATAAGGGAGTTTATTGTAAAAGATTTTTCTTTTTTGTGATTTTTCTGTTGTTTGGTTATGTTATGCAATCAAATGCAACAAACAAATGCACACACAATTCAGTCATTCGCGAACACGTGAGGAGTCATTTTAATCACGAGGTAGGGTTTTCCTGCAGAAGAGTGCATTGACAAGGGTAGGTTCTAACTGTTCTCACCAAGGCTTAGGCCCCCAAGGTGCCCCCATTATAGGGTCCCCACTCTCCAGCCTTCTAACCATGCCTAGCACTAAGGCCATAGTCAGTCTTTGTGCCAAAAGAGGAAGGTTATCACCTTGAGTGGTGGTTTCCGATCATACCGGTGGGCACATGGCCCTCACTACGGCAAATCGTACCTACCACCCACTCCCTATGGATTTCTCACTTGCCCACGGGTATAGAGGGAACTGTTGTGTGCAAAGGTTTGTGTACAGTTTGTATTTCAAACAATTGCGTAAAATAACTAAACAATAGTTATTAAAGTCAAGCAATTAAAGCATCTTATAATACAAGGTAGGGTAAAAGAGAAATTTATAAGCACAAAATGACTCTGTCAAAATCAAAAGTGAAAAACAAAAATCTCTTTAGGTAAATAGCAAAAACGAGAATCATGCATATAAGGAAACTAGGCTCCATTTTAGTGATTGAACACAAGAAGTGCCAAGACCGAGTCTCCAAATGATGCTCCCCCTCAAGAAAACGGAGCAAGTTGTCACCATTAATCAAGTAACTCAAAGCAAAATAGGAGCTTCCAGAACCCAAAGCTCCAGCCACCATCCTTGTACCCAAGAAAGGGAAGGCACAACCATCAACAAAGAAAAGTCGACGAAAAGACTTAATCATCCCCAAGCGGATCTTGGTCTGCTCTAGAGGAAAAATAAAAAAATAAATAGTACCCTAAGGCTCAGCATCGCCACCACATGAGTCATCAAGCATACTCAATCAAACCTCTGCCACATTCCCCAATGGAGAATAAAGGCTTCACAAAAGCCCATCATCAAACAATCAAGGAGTCAAATCTTTGTACTCTTAAGGGCTCAAAAAGAAAAGAAAAACCATTCACCCTAGCGGATACCCAAAAAGAAAATAAAAAGGCCATGACAAAGGGAGGCCAATAAGTCCCAAAGTGGGTCAAATCGAAAAAGGAATAAAGCAACCAAACCAAAGGAATCGGAAATTCCATTCCCCCAGCGAGCAATCAAAATCAGATCCCTAGGAAGCCAACGAATTCCCTGGTGGATGACCAAAAAGAAAAATGTATTCCCAGTGAACCTATCGCAAAGGCAATCTTCAAACTCATATCCTTAGAGATTCGTTTGCCTATGCATAGGCAAGACCTGGCAAGCAAGAGCCAGCATCCCTAAATGGAATATTAGCCTATTCAGAGGCAAAGCAGTGCAGCTAAAAGTCTTCACTTCCAATGAAGCATCTGCCTACTCAGAGGCATCATCAAAATCAACATATCCCTAGTGGATTCCTGCTTACCTCAGAGGCGATTACCAAAAATCTTCGGCAACCAACAAGTTGGATGGCTATGATAAAAGCCCAAAATCAAATAATCTCCGGCTATCAACAAGTTGGATGGTTATTGTAAAAGCCCAAAATCAAAGAATCCCTGGTAATCAACAAGTTGGATGGCTATTATAAAAGCCCAAAATCAAAGAATCCTCGACACAACAAATGACTACATAGAAAAATAAAAACATTTTCAAGCATAAATACTCCCCATGGAGTCATCACGTGACTAAGATCAATAAGCCACTATGACACAGTTCAGTCCTAGGAAAGGACTCAAAACCAGATGGGGGTTCGTACTCATCAACCACAGGATCGAACGAAACATCATGTGGGCGAGTCTTACAAAAGGGGACTCAAACCAGATGGGAGTTGGTACTCATCAAATCAGATGGGGGTTGGTACTCATCAACGAGTCTTACAAAAGGAGACTCAAACCAGGTGGGGGGTTTGTACTCATCACCACAGGATCAAAGGGAACACCCTGTGGTCAACCTTGGAGAAGAAATGAAGACCTTCACATTCATCGTCTGAAGGGTCAACTACCGCATCAAAGGAGCATCTGAAGGACAACCTGGCAAGAGGGTTAACTCCTTCACCAACCAACCGGTCTTACGGCACATTTGCCAACAAGCAGTCGGTCAAGTGAAGGGGGGGATCGAAGGGACCCCGAATCTTGCCCAACCTTACAACAAAGTTCAGAAATCCTCCATTTTGAAGTTGGACAAGGCTTCATCAGGACCCTAGTAGTGTCCATCAGGCTCCATGTAAGAAAATGAGAGTTTTCTTAGAAAATAAAAAATAAATTATGTCAGAAAGTCTGAGACGGCCGTCCCAAATCCCAGACGCCCATCCCACCCTCCTCAGTAGCCTAGGACGGTCGTCCCAAATCCCAGACAGTCGTCCCACTTTCCTTGGTAGCCTAGGACGGCCGTTCCAAATTTCAAATGGTCGTCCCACCCTTCTTGGTAGCCTGGAATGACCGTCCCAAAATCCGAGACAGTAGTCTGACCTGACAAAGGCTAGGACGATCGTCCCGACCTCTTGGGTGAGCATGCCTATAAATAGGACATCAGACCTCATTATTTTTCACACTTTCCAACACTCTACACACCTCTAGACACTATTCTAGGCACTGAGTGATCTTTCCAATTGTCCTTTTGGGCAGAAAATCGGTTAAGGAAGTCTTCTTTGAGACATCCGGCTCTCAGCAGTTTAAGTTTTTATTTGTTCGAGGGAGGAGTGCTCGTGTAGTGCGAGGGGATTGCCAAAAAACGTTCTCAAGTTTAAAGATTATAAATGCTCGCTTCGGAGGTTCTTATCAAACCCTTATTCTGTTATCGCTTTCCTTTGTGTGTATTAGAAATTAGGGTCATGTAAACATTTAGATAAATATTGCAAATAAATAAATATTAGGGTAAAAGCGTAATTTTTAAAGTCTTTATTTTATGAATTAATCCATCATAGGGAACCGAAGGGGCGTTGTGGGGTAATAACATCTTCCCCATGCGAAACTAACTCCCTTACCCGACTCTGGTTGTAATGACCAAAGTTGGTTTTTCTTAACCAACGCCTTTTTTTTATCCTTTTTTAATGTATATGGTTAAAACATTGGTGGTGACTCCATAAAACCCATTTTGCAAAAACTTCACTTTTAAGGTTAGTTCGATTATTAAGCATCTTAAAAGTGATGACCAAATTATTTTACGAAAATGCGATATTCAACCATTACGTCACGACCGCTCACACCTTTTGTCTCTCCCTTGCGGGGGGAGACGGTGACAGGGAATGATAGTGTTTAAGAATGGTCAGCCTCTCTCTCCATTCGTTGGCCCTTTTATCTTAAAAAAAACTTTAAAAAGTTAGGTAACATGACACATAAAAATTAAGTTAGGGTTCTATTTAAAGTTTATAATATTTAAATAACCTTCATCATTAAAATTAATGTAACTAAAACATAATTATTTTTTAAAAGAAAAATACATTTTATCATAGTCAAAATCTAAGGCAAACATTTTCAGCAACTTAACTTCAATTTAATAGACAATCATATCAGTTCAAGCCAAAAACTTCTTAACATGTCAACTTCAAAATGTATTGTTGAGAACTATATTTTTCATTTCGTAAGGTACCAAAAAGACAGATTAAAAAGATTGTCACCCAAGGATTACGACTTTGCATCTCGTCTAACAAAACACTGGCAAAGGCCTCTCGTGTTTGTATATTTTATGTCATTGCATTCAGCAGGTCACTTGTATAGATTGTCTATTTGCTCCATGTATTTAGTCACAACTCTATCTCTTCTAATTTTCATGGTGGGTGTCATTAGACCATTATCAATCTGCCATTGGAGAAAAGAATTAACCAAATTTATGTGAATATAAAAACAACATACAAGAAGGGTTCATTTCAAAATCTAACCGTGAAGGGTTCATTTACAAGAAGGATTGGTCCAATTTGAAATGGAGATTCAGACGTCCTGCATCATGAATATGACAAAAATAATGGGAGAAATGGAAATCAATCAAGATTAGAGTATAGAAAGGAAATGGTTAGGAATTGAGATTTTCTAGATACTTCTTAATCAAATTAATTATAGATTTTTTTGTGTTGTTTTGCTTGGTTAGTTTGAAATTAATAATATTCTTATTGGACAATATTATTCTTTTTTCAATTAGATGATAAACTTAGATCTAAAAAAAAACAGAAATCAACTTAAAAATCAAAATTTTTTAACATTTTGAAACAAATTATTTTATATATGAATATAAAATAAATTATGTACTTTTTTATTTACAATCTTTTTAAAACTTAATAAAGTTTATTATTCATTTAATTAAACTATATTATCTTAAATCGTCAAAACATGTTCCTATAAATGTTAAATATGAACTTGTTCCTCATCGATGAAATGATGATAGTAGCTTTTTTTTTTCTCCCATCTTCCTTTGACCAGCCTTACCAAAAATATCTCATCTTTGATTTTTAGTTTTATAACTTATTTGACTATCTTCGGCTTTATAACATGGTATCTAGAACTCCTTGATTTTGTTAGATTTTGTTAGGGCTTGTGAGGGAGTGAAAATTTGGTAGAAGTTCACGTACAAGCCAAAAAAAAAAGTACCCACGAGAAAGAATGACATCTATTAATTAGTAGCTCTCTACGTCCACCTCTAACTGTTGAAGAATAAAATTATGATATGCGGATAAAAAAATGAAAATTTGTTTGAGAACTCAAACTTTGTAGGAAGTGGTAAAAAATTAAAGTACTCCATGACAAAGTGGCTCAAATAAGTTTTCGAAGAAGTGACAAAGAAGACTTGCCACCATATATCCAATAATACATGATGATATTTTTTGCAAGGTCTTCAATCCTGATACAACAAAAGAGTTGACAAACTTAAGGGGGATTTCAAAGGTAGTGAAAATATAAGATAATGAGTATGAGAAGAGAATATGAAGTAATCAAAATCAAGGATTATGAATAATAAAGAAGTTATTTCATAGAATTTTTGAAGTGGTTACACAAAGTAAATTATTAGGTTAAGAGCTTAAATATTAAAGAGTTGTGAAAAAAAAAAAAACATTAGTGTCTTTCATATATTTGAGTAGAAAATTAGCATTCCTTTGCAAGTCACTTGGTAGATAAAATTTGTAAGAGTGGAAGAAAAATGTTGAAAGTGACTTGCAACCAACTTGGTCATATAGAAGTTTTTTCTCTCTTATGAAAATACTCGTTTACCTTGAATAAAATTGTAAAAACCACCTCTTTCTCTTTTGTAGGACACACTTGATCAAAGTGCTTCAAAAGGGATTGCAACCACTTTGCAACCATAAAGCCATGACCCAACAATGAAAAGACTACATGGAGAGGAAGTTCATGGTCACTCCTTCACTCACCTCACTTGGTTGCACGTTATGGAAACTTCTTGGTATATAAACACATGAAAACGTCTTCACCATAGCAATGTGGGACTTGCACTACTACAGAATATGCTTTTCACATCGTCATTTAACGTCGGTTGGTTAAAAAACGACGTTGAAAGTTGAACACATTCAGCCAAAAATTCGCTTAAGTTAAAGAATTGTCACTGATAGGATTCAAACACAATATATTAGAGATAGAGGCCGATACTCCAACCACTAAACTACTAGAATTTTTTGATAATAACTTACAAATAAATTATATTTATATACAAATAAATATATATCCATATAAATAGATAAATATAAAATATATAAATACAAATATAGTTATATATTAACGTCAATTATATAGAATTGGTGTTGAAAGTCTAAAATTTCAATGTCGACTAATACAACGTCGGTTGTGGAACCGACGTTGAAGGTCTTCCATAACCGACGTGGAAGGCCTTATCTATAGTAGTGTTGAAGAAGGCAAAATGATAAAGAGAGGAGTAAGGAAGAACATTGGGATGGAACAAAAGGGTTGCACTGTTTCCCTCATATTTTCGACCAAATAATGCCAATTTCATGCTAAAAACCAAGTTGCAACTATGGGGAACATGAACATATATATATAAACTCTTAAAAGCATGTAGATGAAATAAATATGAGACTTAATCCCTTTGTATTTAAGAAATTTGGCCATCACTTGTATAAGACCAAATTAGTCCCACATCCCATGGGTGAGTAAGTGAATGAGAGGGGAACAACTATATATATGACCCCTTGTGTAGTTCTTTGGGTACATTTGAATGAAGTCAAAACTTGTGTGTGGAACTTGCATATTGTGTTTGTTCCCCATGTTGGCTTATCTTCAAGTGTCTTTGGAGATTTCTTTCTCCTATTCTCCTAACAAGGAACCTTCCTTGGAGGAGCTAGTGTCAAGTTTCTATAAAAGCTTGGGAAAGAATTTTGGTTAACACTTGGGTGCTTATGATGCAGAATTTTGACGCCATACTTGGTGGAGAGGAGGAAGAATATTTTAATCAGAAAACATCTTGCTTTAGAATGAAACAAACTACTACACAAGCTTTTCCAACCATAATAGATTATTCTTCTTGGTGGCATAAAATGTTTGGTCAGTTTAGTTACTCAATCTTAAGTCTAATAATTTAGTTCACAATATGTCTGCTATTCAAGAACATGCTAATGTGTGTGATGTGTGTCAATATGAAAAACACAAATAAAATTGTAATTTCCTACAAGAAGGATTAAAGAACTACTAAAAACTTATAACTTATTCATACTTTATGTGTGTGGAATAAGCACAACTTCCTTCTTTGTTGATGTTTATAGATGACTTTGCAAGGATGAGTTGGTTATTTTTTTTCTAAAACAAAATTTAAATATGTTTGTCGCTTTTCAAAAGTTCAAACTTATTGTTTTTCAAATGGATCTAAGTATACAATAGGGAATTTTAAAATCTGTTGGTAACAAGTAGAAATTCAACATTAATTACGTGACCCTTACACTCCTTAAAACAATAGTGTAAGTGAAAGGGAAAATGGGGCAATTATGAAGATGACAAGGTCTTATCTCTTTGAAAAGGATATTCCTAAAGCATTTTAGGTAGAGGTAGTTAAAACCTTAAGATACTTGTTGAATATATTGTTTATCAAAGTCTTGAAAGTTAAAACAACTCTTAAGTTAAAACAACTCTTGAATCATGGAATGGAAAGAAGACTTCAACCCATCGTCTCAAAATATTTGAGTATGTATGTTATACTCTTATTTTAGATGTGAAGAGAGGTAAGGTTGATTATAAGGCAAAAATTGGTATTTTCGTAAGGTACAATAATAACTTCAAAGGTTTAAGGGTATATAATCCTTTGACAAAAAGATTCTTATTTGTAGAAATATGACACTTTAGGAGCTTTTTGGATGAAATTTGGAGAAATGAAAAATAGAAGCCTAAAGAAATAAACAACTTGGAGTGGACAATCTACAAGAACTATATTCAAAAATTGAAGAAGAAGATTCAAATGATGATGTTGATTTTTCTATTTGAGGCACAAACTCTTGTTGAAATTTTTAAAAGGTGTAATTTACACTAGAATCAAAAGAATATAATATAGTTACTAAACTAGAAACGTAAAGATGTGTTATATTGAAGGAAGTAAATATGATTGAGAAAATATAACATGGAAACTTGTAGACAAGTCAACTAATTAAAAGGTTATTGTTATTATGTGGGTTTACAAAATCAAGGTTAACCCATATGATTATTTAAACAAACTTAAGGTTAGATTGGTTATTAAAAGTTATTGTCAACATAGAGTGGATTTTTCAGATAGTTTTGATATGGTAGCAAGGTATGATACAATCAAGTTGCTAGTGGCATTAGCAATAAAAATGGATTGGAAAATTTATCATTTGATACGAAGGTTCAGTCTTTTTAAATGGTTTTCTTGAAGAGGACATCTATGTTGAATATTTTAAAGAATTTTTTGTTCTAAGTAGTGCAAACAAAGTTCTAAGTAGGGTAAACAAACACTATAACAGAAAGTGGCTTTCATGACGACACTTTAGATAGTGGTTAACAAAAACTGCTTTTAAAAATACATATTAGATAGCGATTAGGAGTAAAACACTCTCTAAAGTATGTTTTAATAGCGGTTCAGAAAGAACCGCTTTCTAAAGTAATTTATAATAGTAGTTGTGTGATAACTGTTATCTAATGCCATACCTTTAAAGAGCAGTTGACACGTGGAACCGCTATCATAACTTTAGATAGCGGTAACTTTGTGAAACTGCTATAATAAGTGTAGTTTAGATAGCAATTATTTGGTGAACCGCTATCTAAAGTCAAATTTTTAATAACCCTAATCCCCCTTTCTTCAATCTCGCGCTCTCTATTTCTGCGTTTTTGTCGCTCTCTGCGCTCTCCTTCTCACTCTCCTTCTTGCTCTCTGCGTCTTCCATTAAACTAAAGGTATGTTTTCTCCTTCTCGCTCACTTTATGCTCTCCCACTTGCTCTGGGTTCTCTCCATTTCCCTCTGTGTCTTCAATCTCTCTCATTCTATTGTCTCATTACTTAGTTGGGTATTACAACTCCATTGAAGCATATTTGTGTCGCATTCCAGTCTCCATTCACCATTGTTGCTGTAGGACGCGCTTATTGGGAGGTCTACAATATGTTAGTGTATTATATATTTTTTAGGCTTTTATTTGATTTATTATAGTATAATTATTTGAATTAATGTGATATTGGATACGATTTGCACCCCTATTTTGATTCTGATACATTTAGTTAAATTTTAGGGTGAGTGTGAATTAGAAATTACAATTTAAAATTCGTATTTGGATTGATTAATATCTTAGTTTGGTCTGAATTGTTTATTTTTTCCTACATTGTGATCCTGAAATTGTGTTTTGAAATAGAATATAGGTTGGCTAGGATATATACATGGTTTAGTGTGACCCTGAAATATTTTGTATTAGAGATTATGTATGATATTTTTGCTGATAGTTTTAGTGATTTTAGATGCTTGTTAAATGGTATTATTATATATGAACTTGAGTGAACGTTTAGTTTTTCATTTGAGTCTCTAAATAATGATTTAGGATCATTATGTTGAAACTTAAATTGTCCCAATTTGGACAATTTGGGAAAAAAGTTTCCTTGGCCAATAATTATCTAGGTAGTTGATTAAACTATTATTTGTTATAATTGGTAAAATTTTGATTTGCTATTTAAGTCATTGTCTCTTGGTGTATGGTTGAATGAGGTTAATTTTACCAAATTCAAGTTGTGGACTAAGAGACTGATACAAAATGCTGCCAAAATTTTATTAAGTATATAGTATAATGAACTCAGATGACTGTGGATATTAAGTAGCCTTGTTCATTGGAGATGCACTGCAACATGAACAAACTACTATTCCAGTTAACGTAAGAACCATTTTTGCATTATGACTATGTTTATATGAAAGAATAATGTATTGTCATTATTTATCTAATTTGGAATTTAACTTTTGTGATTCTTTTCTATCTATGTTTACAGTATTTTCAAGAATCTCGCTTTGCTACCTTAGAATTGAGCAGCTACAAAAGGAATGATGTGCATATTTCTATCATACATTTTTGAAGGACAAAATCAACACCATAGACTCTTAGGGATTTTTTTTATCATTTCAATTATTTGATGTATATGTACCAAATTTGTTTCATGCAAATTTTAGTTTTAATTTGTCAAATTTTGAATTATTTTTCTATGATTTTGTGAATATATATTGTATGATGGCTAGATTTTGTTGGATTAATTTGATATATACCCTGAAATTGTGCTTTATCGGGTACAAATTATCGAGGAATAAATTTTGGATTTTAAAATTTAAATAAAATTATTATTTTTTTAAATTGGGACTTTAGGTAGCGGTTCCCAGAACCGCTATCTAAACATACTAAAAGAGAGTAGTTCTATAACTAACCGCTATTAAAAATATATTTTAGATAGCGGTTATCGTTTTAACCGCTATTATATGTGTCATTTTTAAGAGCGGTTCATCATTCCAACCGCTATTATAAATATAGTTTTGCATAGCGGTTCCACGTTAACCGCTATTATATCTTATTTATGATAGTGGTTAGTTAACCGCTATCTAAACATCATTCTTTTATTAGCGCCTCATTTAATAGCGTTTTTAACTGCTATTATAGAGCATGCTGAACCGCTATTACATGTCTTTTCCGTTGTAGTGAAAATCTACAAACTTCAAAAAAATCTTTATTATTTAAAAAATAGGCACCAAGGGCGTAGTACAGTAAAATTGATAATTATATTTCGCATAAGGGGTTTAAATAAAGCAAAAATTAAGCTAATTTGTATTTAAAAAGGTAAAAAAAAAAAAAAAAAGTGCAACTCATTGGGTTCTTATATATTGACGATTTCTAGGTCAATGACAATAATTCATGTTCCTTGAGTAAATTCAACCTTGATATAGAGACTAAGTTGAAATGACTAATTTTATATAAATGAATATTAATTTCTTGGAGATACACCAATTTTCTATGAAAATATTGAAGAAGTTTTACATGGAGAATTGTAAGCTAGTGAAGACAATCCTTGTTGTAAATATGAAGTTATCACTTATGTTAGGGGTAAAGTAGATACTTTTTGTTTATAAAAGCTTAAGTAGAACATTATTGAATTTTTGAGCCACTAAACCACACATAATGTTTACTACAAGTTCATTATTGTAAAATAAGTACTAAGATACATAAGAGACAACTAATTAGACTTATGGTTTTAAAAGGATGAAAGTATATTAAGTCGTCCATAATAATTACAAAGAATCTTGTACAATGTAGAAGAATAAATACATCTTGAAATATGTAATTAGAAAAGGTAAAATTAGAATCAACGGGAAACATTGAATTTAGAGAATCATATTGGTTACATAATGACCAAAACAAAGAGAAAGTTTTAATTATTTAGTTAAAAACTTAGTATCCAAAAATATATTAAGGAAGAGCGTTAGGAATTGAGATATTTATTAGATATTTCAAGCTCATACTTGAGACATTTTTTTATTGCTCTGTTTTGTTAGGTCGAAATTAATGATAAGCCTTATTTTATAGGAAAGTTGGTATTTACATTACATTAGCCAAGCCACCTAACTTTTCTTGATTTATCTTTTTGTAATATATTTCTTACTACACTTGGCTGATAAAATGATGTAATAGTTTTATTTTTCTCCCTTTTTCCTTTTCAGTACCTTTTCTAGAAAAGAACAAAATTCTCTATTTTGTTATTTTATAGTTTTTTTTTACTTTCTAAAAAAATTCAATAATTAAGAGCACCAAATAATGCGAACTCTTCTCTTTTCCGTTCTATTTTGGTCATGAAAATCTCACTTAATGATTTTTTTTTTTTTTTTATGTGTGCGCATAAGGATATTTGCAACCGTTAAAAACAAAGAGTTCACTCTCCTTACTGAAACATTGTTCACAACTTTTTTTGGCCGACAGAAAATAACTAACATAATAATAATATAAGTGAAATCAAGTCTTACCAGGTCTTTAATTCTTTATAAATCAGGCTCTTCACCTTTTCCTCACTAATATCTGAACTATCGGAATTTATAATTGATAACTTCTTTGCTACCATCAAGACTTCTTCTTTATTAGGAACTATTACAGCTCCTAGACGTCGCTTATCCTATAAGTTACAGTTACTAACAAGAAGTTAAATTACTACATTTTAAACTATCTGCAATACATTTTATATATACTTGAAAGAAACTAAGAGTTCACCTGGCCAACAACAACAATTTGTTGAATTATGCTACTCCTCATTGCAGCTTCTTCAAGTTCTCCCGGTTCAACATTTTCTCCTTTTCTTATTATAATGAGTGGTTAATACTTACAAAAGGGAAAAATAAAAGCTCATAATCATAAGGATTTTGTGCACAGGGAAAAGTTCAAATTGAGGTAAAAAAAAATGAGTTTAACATTATATGATTATGTTAAAAAAAAAAAAAAAAATCTAAACTGTGTTACATCCTAAAAATATTGTATGATAGAGAATTTTATATGTTCAAAACTTTGTCCAATCTCTTCAAAGTTTCTATGATTTCCCAGGGTGTGATCAAAGGTGTATAAAATCAAGGTAGAACAAAATTAAATAACTCTTCTTTACACTTGTTTGTGCTTTAAGAACAACTTGTTTATAATAATGATTATTATTCAATGTTTCTTGTATGTCACGTTGGATAAAAAAATATATATATATATATATATATATATATATATATAATATATATATATATATATATATATATATATAATATTAAAATGTACGTAAGAGACATATATTATTATGAACAATATTATTGAATGATGGTGGATTTTTTTATCAATTGGCATATTCAATTTGTGAAGGTAGACCTGATGTGGCGGCACCTTAGAGCCACACATTCGCATGCTTATATGATGGAATTTTGGCCTTTCGTGCCATTGATAACATTGATTATATGAAGTAGAATCAATTCACACCCTCTAAAATAATAAAATATTGAAAGCTCTTCTTCTTTATCATGTAAGGATCCCTGCCACATTAGCGTTAGGGTAGGTAGTCCGTTTTTAATTAGGAAGAATAAGGTTATTTTCCACAAAATATATGAATTTATCTTTAGGTCCCAAGTAATAACTAAAAAAAATAAAAAATCTATCAATTTAAAAGATATTTTACTATTTTAAAACAATATCTATTAAAACAAAATCCATCAAATTAAAATCTATTAATTAAATCAACTTGTTCAACTTTTTTATTTAAAACGTTTGAAGATTGTTATTAGGGAATTATGATGGAAAGTCACGTAGTGACATTTTTAAAATTAAAATCAATTTTTGACAAGGATTACCTATTCATCATTGTTACATGGAACATATGATGAGAATTCTCTAACTAACCATTATTGAATGTGTGAGGTAGTACACACTTAAGAAGAGCCTATAAGAATCATTGTCATATATTCTATATGATGATGGTTAGTTACAAAACCATCCTCATATGAATTATATCATCCTTAACTCCCCCTTCCTTCTTCATTTTCGTTGTGTTTTTCTTACTCCTCCCTTCTCTTTGTCATCACTTTGCCCCATTTTTTCTCCTCTTTCGCCCTCCATCTCTTTTTCTTCTTAGTCCTGTGCCATCTCTATGGTAGTGGTGGTGTAGTTGATAAAGTTCCACGGAGCAGCTAACTATAGTGTTTGTGGTGGTTGGTGTGTTTTGAGGGTTGTTGTGGTAGGACACTTGGGTAGTTGTTGTGTTATGCGAGTTGTTGTGGTGATTACAATGGTGCAAACAATTGGTATTGTTTTCCCCTAAGTAAGAAATTTTGTCTAACTTTATTAACATGGTTAAGATTGTATGAATTTACTATTTTCAATATGATGTATGTTGATATTTGACTATTGAACGAGTTGGTGTTGAGTCGAGGGTGTCTGATCCTTGACAAATTGCGTAGTTATAATTTTATATGCATTAGCAAATTACATAATTGTGTATGCATATAGAATTTGTATTAATTATGTACGTATAATTAATGAGTACGAGAAAAGAGAGGAAGCAATTTTATTATTTGCACAACGCAACATTTCTACCAACTTTGATGGTAGAAGATTTAGGTGTCCACGTGTTAACAATCTAAATGGAAGAATATTAAATATTGAAGAAATTAGGGAACATCTTTTATATGATGATTTTCTTAAAAATTATACGACTTGGACATATGATTATTAGATTTACCAACTATAAGTGAATAAGATGATTTAATTTATTCAACCATGGATGATTGATTAGAAGACATGATTTATGATGTTAAAGTATAATCTTTTACTCAAGTGCATCTATATGAAGATATGTGTAATGATGCAAAGACCTCACTTATCATAGTTCAACTAAATTCACACTATTGTCAACAATATTAAGATTGGTGAATTTGAAGACAATGAACAAGTGGATTGATATATATGCATGTCAAAATGACTATATATATTTTTTTATAGAAATGAGTTTAAAGAGCTAAAAAAGTATCAATTTGTGGGTTATCTTGTTTCAAGGTGAGAGATAATTAACCCCTTACTAAGTTCATTTGGTATCTTTCAATAATTTCAAGGTTAAAGCCTTTGGTTGTGAATCCTAATGACGCTAAAAAATCTTATATGACATGCACATGGAAGGACATGTGTTGAATTGATTCATCATCCAATAAACTCTATGCAATGGAAGGACTTTGATAATGAGCTTCCTCCATTTAGAGATAAGTAAAGAAATTCTAGACTTTGACTAGTTACAAATGGAATTAATTTGTTTGGTAATCTAAGTACGAATTATAGTTCTTTGCTATTTATTTACACCTTACCTTCAAGCTTGTGTATGAAGCATAAATACATGATGTCATATATTATCACAAGCCCAAGACAATCAGAAAATGACATAAACATATATCTTAATCAGTTGATTGAAAATTTGAAATTATTGTGGGATACAAGGGTTGAAGTGTTTGATGGGTTTACCTGTAGTAGATTATCCTAGCATGCCTTTATTCTTTTCTCTCTTTTTTTGTGCTTCCCCTTTTTAGATATATGTTTGATCTTTTATTAAAGGTATTTGCGCATATTTATGATTTATCAATAAAGAGGCATTTTCATAATATTTGGTCAAGAGAAAGGAAATGAAAGGGAATTTTATTGATAAATGAGCAAAATTTTATTTTTTTATAGAGGGATTTCAAGGGAGTTTAGAAGAATGGCTGGTTAGGGTTGACTATACTGTTTAGGCTTAAACAGTCATGTTTATGATATCTACCCCCCTAGTTCTCTTAATTGCTTCAGTTGAGATGCCCGAGCTTAGAGTGAAGACTATGCAGACTGTTTGCTTCTGAAAGAACGTTACCTTAACCGTCTTTCGATTTTCGGCTAAGACAATCATTGCTCTTAAATTTTTCTTCTTTCTTTTTTTTTTACCTCTACTTTTTGCCTAGGACGTATCCTAGTGAAGAATATGAACCCTATCTTTTGCCCAGGGATGCCCTTTGTGGGTTTTCATTCCTGACGGGTCTTGAGCAATGTCTTCAAGCATAATACTTCTTCACTGCATTGGAGTTGATTGGGTGTCGAAGTTCCTTTCCATCCATATCGGCAAGGATAAGAGCTCCTCCCGAGAAATATCGCTTAACCACAAAGGGTCCTTCACAATTTGCCGCCCATTTTCGTATTTTTTCTTTTCCGGTCGAAAGTAACTTATTTACCATTAAATCTCCTTCATGGTAAATATGGGAGTTGACCTTTTTTTTTTTGTAAGCCTTTTTTATTTTCCTTTGATAAGCTTGTCCACGACATATGACGTCCAACCGTTTTTTTTTTTTGTAGAAGTTTGAACTGATCATATCGGTTTTGGACCCATTCAGCTTTTTGTCAGTTTTGCTTCCATGATAATTCGCAAGGAAAAGTATTTCAACCTCTTTGGAAGTGTGACCTCCATGTCATATATATAAGGGAGAACGGAGTAGATCCTGCGGAGGTCCATACGGTAGTTTGATAACCATAAAGGGCAAAGGGCGATATTTCATGCCAATTTTTGTAGGTTTTGACCATCTTCTGGATGATCTTCTTGATGTTTTAATTGGCTATCTCTATTGCACCATTCATCTTAAGTCGGTAGGGAGAGAACTTATGATGTTGGATTCTTTTATCTTGGCATGTCATGATAAGACCATGTGCATGCGTCTATATACTCCCTTAACTTTTAACCCATCCATGACGTTATCATTGATTTGGGTATTAATACTTATTTCCTTTTTTCTTTTCCTTGCCCCCAAATCCATGGCCTTGTTTTTTCTGGTAGAGTCGTATTAATTGAGCTTCTTCTTTTTTCCAACAGTCTTAACATGTTTGGAGAAATGATTCCCTTCTCACTGTCTGACCTGATCCATTCGCCTTCGGCTTTCGGATCCCATAGAGAGTCCTCAATCACAGACATGACTATTTATATGGTCCTTATTTGGGTTTATATTTTATTTAATTATGTTGGAATGAGAGAGAAAAGAATGAAATGAATATGATCATTATGTAAAATGCCTCATTGTATTGATGAAAAGAGAAATGTGTACACAACCCTTTTAATCAAAAGATCTCGTGGCCACAGGCACAGCACCATGAGAGATACATCGAAGTTTTTTTTATTATTTTTTATATATTTCTTTTATTTTTATTTTTTTCATGATGAGGAGCCCTAATCAGCTGACCTTCCCCATCATTCCAGTTGAGACAGAGGCATGATGTCCACCTTAGGATCCGGAGCATCGAAAGTAATCCACCTGGCATCCAACAATTCTTGAACCCTATATTTCAGGTTCATGCAATTCTCTACGGAATGTCCGGGAGCACCCGAGTGATAATCACATTTTTCGTTGAGCTTGTACCAGCGGGGGTAAGGTGGACCCATATTCTTTGGAGGGATACATGTTAGGAGCTTGACCTCTACCAACTTTGGCAGCAGACTCTCATAGGAGGTTGGAATGGGAGTGAATTTCTTCTCTTATTTGTGTGACTGCCCAATTGGTGGCATAGAGGAGGAAAGAGTACCAAGATTAATGGCGTTCATGTTTCCCTCTTTCTTCTGGCCAAAGGATTTGTTGAATGTTGTGCTAGAAGAGAAAGGTAGCGCAATCCTTTCGCTCTTCAATCCTTGCTCTACTCTCTCACCGATGGTTACCACATCCGTAAAAAGAGTTGATGTGCTCCCTATCATCTTATCATAATAGGGACCTGTTAACAAATTGATGAACAGACATATGGTTTCCTTATCTGATAGTGGAGGCTATACTTGGGCGGCCAACTCCCTCCAACACTGAGCATATGCCTTGAAGGGTTCATCGTTTTTCTTACTCAGAGCTTGTAGATCTGACCTGTCCGGAGTCAAATCAATGTTATATTTGTAATGACGAAGGAAGGCATCTGCCAGATGTTTCCAGGTTTGGACTTGTCCCCCTCCCAATTGCATATACTAGTTCAAGGCCGAGTCGGTCAAGCTCTCCTGAAAGCAATGGATCAGGAGTTTATCGTTGTTGGCATATGGGGCCATCTTATGATAGTACATTGTAAGATGGCTCTTGGGACAAGTCATCCCCATGTACTTGGGAAAATCTGGGATCTTGAACTTGGGAGGGAATTGGATATTCTTAACGAGGCACATGTCGGCTACTTCTTTAACATCAAAATTATGTCCCTCCATAGCCCTTAACCTCTTTTCAAGGGCAGAAATCTTTTGCTTGGAAACTTTAGGGGATTGGATGATTACTGCCCTCTCTTCGGGCTGTACGTGAGCTCCTTGCTCAAGCTCATGGTCAGAGTCCTCCTCTTTCTCATGATGTGAGGCGTGGTCACTGTGAGGAATCGCCTTGCGTAAGTTCTGCGGACGCATTAACTCTATTAACTGCACCATTTGTTCTTTCATGGAGTTGAGCTCAGCAGTGAGCTTGCGGTTTTGCTCCTCTAATTGCTTCATCCTCTTAGCCTTTTGCGTGCAAGTGAGGACAGGAAGAAGACTAGCCACTTTCTAAATGATTTAAATATTTTATTATAGTTTTTTATTATGAATTATTAGTGTTGGATAGATATGTCTTAGACAATAGCTTTGGTATCTTCTTAAAAGCTTACGCTTAAGGAGTACCATACCCATTTTGGTTTGATGGTTCCCTTTTTACGAAGGTTATTATCATACCTTAACACACTTGTCCCTTCCAGGAAGGCTACAAAAGGCCTCTTTCGCCTTTTTCTTAAGATTATCTAACCCATTCTAGTAATGAATGAATTTATGTTTTAGAGATTTTATTAAAATGATGTGTATGCATACTTTCCTTATGCATTTATTTTCTCTCTTTGGTTTTACCTCTCTTAAGATGACGAGGGTATAAATGATTTGACTTTGTTAAAATCATTTTATTGAGTTTTATTATTTTTAAATGAATGTTTGTAAATAAGGCTTGTTTATAAAAAATTAATTTTATAACTTCTTATCTCTTCTGTAGGTCAACATGGCTACTTAGCTTACAAAGAACCTGAAACCAAGCTAGCTTAAATGAAGACTGTCTGAGATAAGGTTGATTTATTACAAAAAGATTTTGAAATATCTTGTTTATTTTATTTGTATTTTAATTTTTTTACTGTTGTATGATTATGTTATACAAATGTGACAAACAAAATACAATAAACAAATTCACAAACAATTCACTCATCCACGAATAAAATGACGACGTTTTAATCACGAGGTAGGTTTTTTCTACATAAAAGTGCATTGGCAAAGGTGGTTCTAAACTGTTCTCACCGAAGTCAGGCTCCCAAGGTGCCCCCATTATAGGGACCTCTCAATCTCTCAATCCTTGGACCATGCACAGGTCTCCGGGTCAACGTCCTTAGACCAAAAGAGAGTTATCACCTTGAGTTGGTGGTTTCTGACAACAACTATAGCCACGTGTGCCAACAAAACCAGTCGTATCTGTCACTCACTCCCTAAGGTTATTCACTCTTGCCCCCGGGTATAGAGGGACTGTTGTGTGCAAGGGTTTGTGTACAGTTTGTACTCCAAACAATTGCAGAAAATAATCATACAACAATTATCAAACATGTTATAAATACAAGGAAGGGTAAAGGCGTAATTTCAAATCTTTATTTTGTTTGAATTTATTCGTCACTGAATGAGATCAACTCTCTAGCTTCCCTAGTGGAGTCAACATTTGTCGCCACCGTCCGTTCCGACGTCTCTGGACATTACGAATGTTTATGCAAGTGGTTGCGATAAGATGATTTAGACTCGTGTTTTCGTAAAAAGGTGATCATCGCTTTCAAGATGCTCATCAACTGATATAATATTTAATAAAAGCGAGGTTTTCTTAAAAAGTTTTCATGGAGTTGCCACCAATGTTTTTACCATAAACATTTGAAAAGGATAAAAAGGTATTGATTTTAATAAAAACCAAACTTGGCCATTATAACCAGAGTTAGGTAAGGGAGTTAGTTACGTGTGGGAAAGGTATTAGCACCCACACAACGCTCCTTGCGGGTTCCCTATGACGGATTAATTCATAAAATAAGGATTATGAGAAATTACGCTATTACCCTATTTATTATGCGATATTAAAAATGATTATCTACATGATTCTATTTCTACTGCATATAGGAAAGCAATAAATAAAGCAATAAAAGAGAAAAGTAGTGAAAAGAACATTTGAAGCAAGCTTTTATAGAAATCTTCAACTCTGAGGACGCTTTTTGGCTATCCTCTCGCACTACAAGGACTCTCCTCTCCCGAATACAAGAAAAGCTTTAAACTATCGAATGCTGGATATCTCAAAAAGAGATTTCCTTAACTGATTGTTACCTTATAAGCAATCAGAAAGATCATTCGAGTACTAGAGAAGTAGAGAGAAGTGAATCTGATTTCTGGTGTGTGGAAAAGCTGCAAATGAGGTCCCTATTTATAGCTGGGCGCTGTCAGGACGTCGGGACGGCTGTCCCAACTTCTGTAAGGTGGGACGACCGTCTGATATTCGGGACGGCTATCCCAAGTGCAAAAATGGGTTGGGACGACCGTCTAGGATTTGGAATGGCCGTCCCGAGCTTCCTAACAGGTGGGATGGTCGTCTGGGATTCGGGACAACCGTCCCAATGTGCAAAATTTGGTTGGGATGGCCGTCTGGGATTTGGGATGGCCGTCCCGAGCTTCCTGACAAGATTTTCCTACTTTTTCTTATTTTTTGTGTCCATAAAGCTCTCCTATCCTCACATGGAGCTTAGAGAACATTACTAGGGGCCCAATGAAACCTTGTTCATCTTCGAACGGAGGATCTCTGACCTTTATTATAAAGCCGAACAAGATTTGGGGTCTACAAACCTATGATCCACGTGCCTACTCATATTCAACATAATTAGTTATCTTTTATTAGTTGATGGGCTATTGTCAACTCAACACTAATTATTATTTTTTTTTGTAACTTGCCCTGTACTTTATAGAAATTAATCTCATTGTTTGTGAAATTAATATTCAAAATCTATACAAGTTTTTTTCTCTTATTAATCTCAAGTTTTTTTATGGTAATTAATATTAAAAAGATCACATTGCATAAATATATTGTAAAAATGTAGTATATAAATGAGATGTAAATCTTATTTTTCAAATCAATTTTGTAGGATTGAGTTTGATACATATCTACTTTCTTTACATGAAATCAAAACAATAACAATCTCTTCTAAGATGACATCAATATTGTTCTAGAGTGGGTATCAAAGATTTGGTAGTTTATGTGTTAACATGATTTACAATTGTGTGTATTGATTAATAAATTTTTTTGTTAAGTGTTCATGAATGAATAAACTTCACCTTACATATTAAATTTGTATGATTTAAGTTATGCACATATACAACTTCATAACACTTATAGCTTAAACTATCTTTGATATTTTTCCTTTAAAAATTCATTTCTATTGTATCAATCCAATTTTTCATTGGGAAATCCTTCATTATCTATCACTCTTCCATTTTTATACTATAATAAAGAAGTTATCTCATGATAACGAACTTGTTGGGTTCAGGCAAGTAGAACCTGTTCTTGGTGCTCATAAGCGCACAAATTTTGCATTGCTTTTCCAATTCGTAGTTGATATCTCATTCGACAAGGTCGTCTTACTACCATTAAAAATTTTGCAAACCAACTATCTTCTTGGTATAGTTTAAGTCGTCTCTATTGGCCTTAATATTTCTAAACGATATTTGTTATTTTTGGTAACTATGGGAGAAAATTTATCATCATTTTAATTTAAAAAGAAAAACTCAAAACACCAATCTCAACTTTATATATATAAAAAGGAATCCAATTATTACAAGATTAAGAGTTAAATACTTATTCTTCTTTCTCCCTATTTATTTTATTTTTTTCTTTAATTAGTATTGAAAAGATGGGAGTGTTAATCCCATTGCCCTGTTGCATGTAGGTCATTAATTATCTTAATTCTCAATACTTTTAAGGAAATCAAAAGTCTAACATAATAGACTATCCTCAAATTAAAAGTACGAAGATATATAAGACAAATAGTTAATTATCAATAAAAGAGTTGGAAACCTCTTTGATGTCTTGCTGGCAATAGGACAAAGGTCTAAATTAGCTACTAGTAAGTAATGGTTGAGTTGTGATTTTTGTTAGAATTCAAGTGTGAATAATTTATAATTTACCCATATCTTTTATTGATGTTTTCAAGATGCACATTATGTGGTCTCTTATTGATGTTTTCTAGATGAAATTGTGAGTTATATGTGGTTGCTATAAGTAAGGCCTTAGATGGGGATGGATGGCTGGATACCGGTGATTATGAGACACTATAGTGTCTTATATTAAATAGAAATGAGAAAATTGAATAATTTATAAATGAAAAGATCAACATTCAAATTTATTGTTTTAAAGTTTTGGATTAAAAGTAGAGTCATGTCCTCGTATATAATTACCTTAGAATCCCATATGTAAACATATTCATCAAGTGATAAGGTCCTCACAAAAACTTAATAGTGGTATTATACCTAATGTTTTAACTTTTAAGTTGATAGAAATATATTATGAGAAAGGTAAATAACTTTTAAGTTTAAAAGGTATATATATATATATATATATATATATATATATATATATATATATATATATATATATTTAATGTTTGTAGTGAAATATAGAATTATATTCTCTTATATCTCACCTTATAATTTCATATGTGAACACAAACCAAGTGATAATTCCCTAATAAAATCCCAACAATTTCAACTTAATGGTGGAATAATTTTAAATCTCAAACTCAAAATTTACATGAGATGATCATTAAAAGAGTTAAGATTCATTTGTGTTCTTCAATAATAAAAAAATTGAAGTACCTTCGACCATGCCAAGAATTTTTTTTAAATTACTTTATTTAAAAAGTTTCATGTAAAAATTGAAGCAATTTTTTTATAGATAAAAAAATATGTACGTTCTAAAAAAAGTAGGGTTTTAGCACCAAAGGTTGCAAGATTTAGTATATATAAAATATAACCAATGACTTAAGAGTGTTTTAATTGTGAAGATTTGATGAATTAATTTCATTGTTATAAATGAGGTTGATGACAGTAATGAATGGTTGTTAGGAAAAAGGGAAAATGAAGACGAAAAAGTCTTCTAAGAGGAAGAATTAGTCTCTTGAAGATTTAACTGGGGGAGTTGTGGCCGCTGCAACTAGACTGGAGAGCCTATTATAAACACTAGGTAATATTCAAGGGCAAGTAGTTGCAACAACAACTTCTAATTCTAGGCCTATTGGAAAAATAAATCAATCACTAGCGCAAAAAGAAGAGGAAGATGAAGTAGATGATGAAACTAGCATACAAGAAGGAAAAGTCATCCAATGAATGCCTTCTATTGAATAAATTACATTTTATTGAAACTTGTATTGTACCTGTTGAAAGCACTATAGTGTCTTTAGCACGACCCTCCACAACAATCACACCACTGGAGTGCCGACTCCGTCCACTTGAATGATGGGGAACAATCCACCCTAAATCACCAGTATCCAGCCATCCATCCCCATCTAAGGCCTTACTTGTAGCTACAGGATTCTAATGCAAGAGTAAGACATATAACTCACAATTTCATCTAGAAAACATCAATAAGAGACCACATAATGTTTGCATCTGGAAAAAATCAATAAAAGATCGATATGGCTAAATTATACAAAATTATGAACGATGAAATAAGCTAGAGATCAACTCCTTTGGATGGTTTCATTAGTATTTGTAACTTCGCAAGTAATACCATAAACCATCTTAAGCTTATGTTATGCCCTCACCTTGGACAGGCAATCTCATATTTGTTGAAGAAACAAAACTACTATGAAGGGATTTTCTCTCTCTGCCACACACGTACATGTGCAAACAAAAAACGTTCGCACTCTAACAACGCAAATTACCTTGAAGTATCCTTTCATCACTTGGGGACCCTTGACTTTCAAAATTCCTTTTGAACCAGGTGGAAGAACTTCATCAGTTTCAGAGTCTACGATTTTGAATTTTGTTTGATGGATTGGATGCCCAACAGATCCAAGAACCTTCAAAAGATTGCATATGTGACATTCTTAGATAAATGCACCATACTTTACAGACTATTTACACCTAATCAAAATAACGCAAAATATGCAATTATTATGAATGTCACGATGGCAGACTTTTCACAAAAGGATGAACATTGTTCTCTTAACAGATTAAGTGAAAAACCAAACAGAAACTTCAGAATTAAAAAAACAATACTTATTCATTATTATAACCAGGTATTGCAAACGAAGGTATTATTAATAATAAACTATTTTTATGTGAAGTTTACTTACTCATATATTGGAATATACACAGGTAGCAAATTAACAAATACACTATTTTAACTCACTCTATTATTGAGTGAATTTGTTCCACTAAGTAGTAAAGTGGGTCACATGAAATTCACCAAATAATACATAGAATGTTGTCAATATTCTTCAATTTTCAATGCATTTAATAAGATACGTACATTACATTCAGGTCGTCGAGCAGCAATAACAGGTGAAGTTTCTGTTAAACCATATCCATTTTGAACTTTCACACCAATTGCCTGCATGATAAAAAAATAGAAGCACCAATGTGAAGTAGTGAAGTAGATTCCAAAAAGTTTATTTACAAGTTACACATGATTGAAATATTAGACCTCAAAAAACTTGTCGACTTCCCACGGCAAACTACCACCTCCACTTATTCCGGCCTGCACAGAACGAAGAGAGGCAAAAGAAAGAATAGGAATGATTAAAAACTCAATTGATTAGTTAACACAAAAGCATATTGACTATCATTAATCATTCTTTTTAACAGCATGGATCTGTTAATGGCTAACTGTTTCAAGACTGTAAATATATTAAGTTGAATTCCTTTTTCATAATTTTCCTAAAACATATTTAAGAGAGACAATATTGCACTTAACAAAACAAGACAAGAAATAAAATAAAGACAGACATACTGTATAAGCATTGAGACAGGCATACAAAATAAGTAGGTTCTAAATTACCCTATATGATAATCACAGGGTATACAATTAAATATATGCTATTTTTGAAAATTAACATACAAAAATTTAATATAGTTCAAGTTTACTTATAAATATGAACTATATTTAAGTCATATTTATTTTATTTAAGAAATACTCTTATTTTTAAATTTGGGCACTGTACCCAATAGTTATGTTATAAGGTAATTTAGAAATTATAATTCTTTATTTTATGAAATCATGGGGATTAAATTAATTTAACTAACTAATCTTCTCAATCAGTATCAAATAAAAAAGTTAGAAACTATTTATTTTTTAAAAATATTTTTGTATATAAATGACATATTTCCATAATAATATCATAAAAATAATAAATATTACACTATAAAAATAGTTTTATATAAAATAAGTACAAAATTCCTATAATATAACTATTTTAACATCTTTAGTATCCATAATATAAAATTTTACTATTTTAGTTTCTCGTGTTAAGATTATCTTGAAGTGATAAAATGATACTAATTGTTACATCATTATGATACTATCACTTAATATAATTAGGTTTGGGTCAAAACATTAAATTTTATATGCAAAACGACTAAAATGAAAAAATAAAATTAAGGTAACAAACAATAAAATGAGCATGTTAAGAGAGATCACTAGTATATTTAAGCAAAAGTCCAACCAATATTATAAGATAAAGAAGAAGAAGAAAACAAAACCTTTGATATTCCAATAGCTGAATGGATTTTATTGTAAACAAGTTTCTTTGCCAAAATATGAACTGGAAATAGTAGTGCGGCAATAATTCTGGCCCACAACCAGTCCATCATTGAATAGACGTAGGAGGCCTGCTTCTTATTCGTTGTCAGACATTTACCCTGGAACGTATTTGAAATTTAGTAAAAGAAATATGTCCGGTGAGAAATAGGATTGCAATAATAGAAACTATTTTGCGACTCTTCATTCAAGCAATTTTTTTAAGGAAAAATAAACCAATTCAAACAACAATTAACTAAAAAACCGACAATCTTAAAGACAACTATGACATTTTCAAATCATCATGTTGTTTACCTTTTTTTACTTTTATTTTGGATAAAATGAGAAATTATCAAGGGAGAATGCTCCAGAAGCAAGAAAAGATAGAATGGAAAGAAAATAGATATTTTATCCAAAGGTTAAGGCTATTAAGAATCAGAATAGGCCTGATCAAATATGTTGAACACTTTGGAGATCAGATAGAAAAAAGTGATGCACAAACCTCATAAATACGCTTATAGTCCATGTATGCTAAGCTGACCCTTATGAATGTTAGTGCTACAAGCTTTCTAACAGCAGAACTTGTAGTTATCTGCTTCATGATCCCACTACAGAGGAAACAATCAACAAAACCAATGAAAGTTAAGTGTACCCTTGTATATGTAGATTGTGCTGAGTCATCATTTATTCAGAGTTAATTAGCCAACTGCTATTAAGTTATGGCAGTTGGAAATAATTGGTTTAACCAGTGGTCATTGTGCACTTGTTCTTCAACAACAACTAATGTTCACCCTTTAAAGAAAATAAGATTATAAAGTGATGTAACTCACCATAAAGTAATAATAATAAGTATAGCTATATAACTTTTTCCCATAAACCATCCAGAAACATATAACAATTTAGAGCCTAGAATGTGAATCGTAAATGATGAATTACAGCAAAATAAATGAACAAAAAAAAAACTTGGTTTAACATTGACCAAGGGAGAGCAAGTAGCAATCCGCAAAATTTCACCATGAAAATAACAAATTACTGTTTTTATTTTACAAACTAAAACAAGGATTTCAACCATAAAACCATCTTCTACTCATTTTTTCATCTATCATTTATAAGTTTCTACAGTGCCAAGGATATTACAATAATAAGTTAATTCCAAAGTCGCTAAGAAGTTAATAGGTTAATCTATTAGTTTTATGCTACTTATTGTTAATTTATTAACTTCAAGTGATTGTTTTCAACAATATATATTTGGACAGTACTACGACAAAACATGGACTCATATAACATGCTACAGATTGCAGGAATTTTTCAGTCAAATCTTCTAAATCTTGTCACTCACTTACCTCAAAATATCAGAAACCTTCACACGTCATACAGAGGAATGGTTTACAATTTAGACAAAACATGCGATTCAAAAGAAGAGAAAAAGCAAGTTTCTTTTAGAAACGTGATATATCATCATCAATTCAATAAGTATTCATTCAACTCCTACTAGAGGATTTACCTGTACAATGTTTCAAAAATTAAAGGAACAGAGATCAAGTAATGTGGTTGATAACGTTCCAAATCATCCTAGAAAATAACAAAGTACAGCATGTTAATAAATATGCATGTAAATAACATAATAACCAATTTAGCATATGTAGCAACGCATTTCCTTTTATCATACTACTACTAATAATAATATATAATAATTGATGAACTGACACAACAATCCAGTACTAAAGAAAAATCTGCTATAGCTTTTCCTTTATCAACCCTGATTTTGATGTTACATATATATTTAAATAACATAAATAACGTTATTTATATGTAAGCCATAATTCCCAATGTTTTATGATCAATTCGAAAAAACTATACCTTTAGATTCCTCATGTTTGTGTATACTTGCTGAATACCGTTTGTGAAAATGAAATACTCACAAGCTCTTTCGTATGCATGCCAAGGTGGGAGCATGCTTAGAAATCTATCCCCAACTTTTGCAGGTACAATGTCCCATAAGTTTTTTATCTAGAAATTGATCAACAAATGTGACATCATCAAGGGTAACATAATATTTAAAGCCAAGGATCATCTTCAATTGAAACCATGTAAAAATGACTTGAAAAAACTTAACATATATTGTCACAATAATCTGAATAGAAGGTATGTGATGAAACCTGATGCAAAAGATTCTGATGGGTGAGCATAACACCTTTCGGATTTCCAGTAGTTCCACTTGTGTATGTGAGAGTAGCAATGCTATCAGAGTTTATTGGTTCATACACATAACACTGTTCTGCAATTAATATAGGCAGTATCAAAATAGTATAGTACTTCATTAGTGGTTACGTACTGGTTTCGTACATAATCAAGAGTACACCTTGTATTTGACATTTCATAATTTATAAATGCAAGGATAAAATAAGTTATTGCATATAAGTTTTCTAAAATGCATACATATTATTATATTAAAAAATGAAGATATAATTGATGGGTTTTTTTTATGGGAAAATTCATCAGAGATAAACAACACCAATGAAACATGAGTCGAACCAGCATAAGAGATTAACATCACCTTTAACCTAAAATCTTAAGGCATTATAGGTTACAGGTCTTTATTCTTTATATGTTATTCAACATTTTCATTCCTACTCAATGTGAGACTTACACTCACTTGGATTCCTAACAATAACTTCATTAAATATTTTGTTTTTATTTACATGAATAATAAAAATTTAAATAATTATTTTATATTTTATTTAAATTACTTTTATGTTATCATTCATATAATTTTATCATCTATTACTTTTACGCTATCATTCATATCATTTTACATGTATTCGAGTGGTAGAACGTGAAATGGAGGATAGTTTGGAAACACGTTCCAGCTTGAAGATCGATACTAGAGTCATTGACTCAATCTTTCTCTCAACTTAAGAACAGTTGTAAGATCTTTTTAAGAATTAAAATCTTGTGACAAGTCACTCATCAAATCCTGGAAATTCATAAGATCTTCTACTTACTCTTGTAATACCCGATTAACTCAACTAGAATTTCCAATATTATGTTATGTTTTGTGATGAATCCTTCACTATAGAACATAATCTAACACACAAAAATTTACACATTCATGTTATGGAAGTTGAGAAAATGATAGAAACCTTGAACGATATGTCCTTTGTTGAGGAAACTGTGGAACACGACATTGTTGATGCTGTAATTTCAATAAATGATATGTCTGTTTTAACCAGCTTTAAGACTATGAGAATCACTCCTTATGTCGGCAAGAAACATTTGCATGTGTTTGTTGATAGTGGAAGCACTCATAACTTCTTGGCCATTGAAGTAAAAAAAAATCTTGGTTGTAAAGTCTCCCTAGTGCAGCCTCTAAATGTCACAGTTGCATATGACACTAAAGTTACAAATTTATCTAAGATTTTAGAATTCTCTTGAACAATTCAAAGTACAAATTTCAGTTTTAATGTTATGTAAATTCCCTAAGCTGTTGTGATTTGGTGTTAAGAATTAAATCGCTTGTGACATTAGGGGATATTACATGGAATTTTGATAAGTTGTCAATGCAGTTTTTTTTTTCCAAGGCAAGAAACATGTACTAAGAGGTGATACAACTAATGCTAAAGCTATAAGGAAACAACAATTGACCAAGACTTTGGGAAGTGGTGTACATTTCTTCATGATGCAAACTTGCAGCCAAGAAACTAGTTTATTACATTCTTTTGACAACACATGCTTCTTAAACTAATATATCTGGTGATTTAGAGCAATTGTTGTTGAAATTTGAATATGTTTTCAAAGAACCAACAAATCTTCTTCCTTCAAGAAATAGACATGATAACAAAATTCCATTCGTGCAAGGGGCCAATCCAATTAGTAAGCAACCTTACAAATATGGGAAACAACAAAAAGATGAAATTGATAGATTGTAAATGAATCATTGGACAATGGGATTATACTGTACAACAACAATCGAGATGCAGGTCCTAACTTTTGGTTGGTAAAAAGGATGAGTCTTGGAAGGTAAGTGTGGATTATAGAGACCTTAACGAAAATATAGTCAAAGACAAGTTTCTCATTCCTTTGGTGTATGATTTTTCAATGAACTGCATGGATTTATGATATTGTCCAAGATAGATCTAAGATTCAGATATAACCAAGTTAGAATGTATTTTGTTGTGAAAGTGATGAAGATTTTATTGATCCCTATGAAAAGACTTATCTTGAAGATTTGATGAAGTCAAAAGTTCTTTGGGTTAAAGGATGTAGTGATTAGTGAATCTGCATCTGCATCAATATTAATAGGTATAATCATTCATTCTTCTCTGCTGCATAAAGGGTTCATCATTTGAAAGAATTTGAAATGTCTCTAAATGTTTTAATCTGTTAAAAATCAGTTAATCGATTAATATGTTTTTAAGACTAAAGATTTAATTGATACACTTTAACATTAATTGATTAAAATCAACTGGAAACATTCGTGACAGAATTTTAACTGATGTATTTTTGAAATAATTGATTAAAACCACTTAAAACATTTACTATCACTATTTTAATCGATGCACATTCGAATTAATCGATCATTTTCATTAGAGATATATTTGAAAACCTTCTGTCAGTATTTTAACTGATATAACTTCAAATTAATTAATTAAAATCACTTAAGATGTTTTGAAAAGTGTTCTGTCAATATTTTAATCGATATAACTTCGAATTAATCGATTCAAATCACTTGAGATGTTCTAAAAAGTGTTCTGTCAGTATTTCAATCGATGTAACTTCGAATTAATCGATCAAAATAACTTGAGATGATTTGAAAAGTGTTCTACCAGTATTTTAATCGATGAAACATCGAATTAATCGATTAAATCAACTTAGAGAAACTTTTATTAAATGTTTTAATCGATTAAATCATGCTTTTATCAGTTAAAATCACTTATGGAGTTTTGATAATTTATTTGGCAGTATTATAATCGATTAAACTGCGAATCAATCGATTAAAAAATAACTTAGGAAATTTTTGTATAATTGTTTTAATCGATTAAATCGCATCTACATCAGTTAAAATAAATCTGGAAAATGCTCAAACTTATTTTAACCGATTAAAGAAGTGTTAATCGATTAATCAAGAATTAATAATCGATTAAAAGAAGTTTTAACCGATTAATTAAACCAATTTGTTAGAAAAAGTCTCTATATAAATATATTTGCTTCAACATTTTAAATCACCAACTTTGATATATCAATCAAGCAATCAATTGAGATCTTTTTAAGGAAGAAGTGCGCAAGTTTATGTGAATTTTTTCAAAGTTCTTTCTTAAGGCATTTTTACATTCTTGCATGTGAAGAAACTCATTCTGCAGAGGAAGAATTGCATGTGCATAACCAGGTTTGGTTGTTCTAGTTTCTTCTCTTTGTTTTCTGTAATTCATAAACTGTATTGAGTGGTGTCTGGAAGTTTTGGGCACTAGTTCTGTAGCTGGAATTTGGCTACAAGTTGGGTTCAAGAACTGAAACTTGGTTCTTGGCGAAGGTTTGATGCAAGAACTGGAATTTGGTTCTTGGTGCAGGTTGTTTTGTGATTCAGGTTTGTAATCAGAAACATAATCAATCTAGTGGAACTTAACTGGAATTTGGTTGAGAATTGGATGTAGCCCTATGGTTTGGGTGAACCAGTATAAATCTTTGTGTTTCTTTCTCCTTTCTTTTACACTCTTTAATTATGTTTGTGCCTTATACAAAACTGCTTAATTTTCTTGGATCAGTATTTGATTGGAATTTTTAAATTTTCAAATAGATAATCTGTATTCTTAAAAGTGCGAAAAAGTTTCAAAAGATCAATTCACCCCCTCTTGATCTCAGCCTACATTTTTAACATGTTGGTGTGCTTAAAATTTCTTTTAAGACACACAGAGACCATTTTAAGTATTTGGTTATGTTGTTTGGGCTAACCAATGCCCCAACAACATTTCAAGGATTGATGAATAATATCTTTAAGCAGTGTTTGAGGAAATTTCCTCATTGTCTTTTTGGATAATATATTACTCTATAATGCTAGTTTACACGATCTTTTGTTACACTTAAAGTTGGTGCTCTCGATGATGAGGCAACACTCATTATATGCCAAAAAATCCAAATGTTATTTTGGTGTAACATGAGTAGAATATTTAGGTCATTTTATCTCAGGTCAGGGAGTGTCAATTGATCTAGCTAAGGTTTCAGTAATTACTATATGGCCATTGCCACAAAATATGAAACAATTAAGGTTTTTTTTGGAATTTAGGTTATTACAAGAGGTTTATCAAGGGATATAACATTATTGCTAAGCCAATAACTGACATGCAAAAGAAGTATAATTCTATTTGGACCCCTACGGCAAAATTAGTTGTTCAATCTTTAAAAGACAAACTTGTCGTAGTCAATGTGTTAGCATTGTCGGGCTTCACGAAAATTTTGTTGTAGTGGATGCTTATGGGTATGGGTTGGGGGACATGTTGATGCAAGAATACCATCCATTGGCATTCATCAATAGAATTTTGAATCTTTAGCAACAATCACTCACTACTTATGTAAAGGAGTTGTTGGTAGTGGTATTTGTAGCTCAAAAATGAAAGCATTACTTATTGCCTAAGTAATTCATTATCATAACTGACTATAAGAGCCTAAAGTACATTCTTGACTAGAGATTAACTACTACCTTCCAGGAAAAATGGTTTGTCAAGCTCCTAGAATTTGACTTTGATATTAAATATAAGAAAGGAAGAGATAATATAGTGGCAGACACTCTTTCTAGAATGAATTATGAGGATTCAATTGTATGCCAACCTATACAAGTTCATGAACCTGATTCTAACCTACTAAATGAAATAGAATTGACAACTCTATACATAAAATAATTGTAGAAATAAAGGGTAATTCAACTTCTCATAGGCACTTTGAATGGAAAGAGGGATGGGTTAAGAAGAAAGGGAAAGTTGGTGGTAGGTGAGGATGAAGAATTAAGGAAGATTTTACTTTAATGGTTGCATGAATCAGTTGTTGGTGGTCATTCGAAAAGAGATGGTAACCTTAAAAGAGTGAAAGTTATCGTGTATTGGAGAGGCCTCACTAAAGATGTTAAAACTTTCATTCAAGGATGTAGAGTATGGCAAGCTTGTAAACCAGGTCATTTTTCCTACCCATAACTCTTGCAACCTCTTTCAATTCCATATCATGTTTGGCAACCTAGCACAATGGACTTCATTGAGGGATTGTCCAACTCTTATGACAAACAGGTCATTTTTGTTGTAGTTCACTTATTAAGCAAAGCAGCTCATTTCATGGC